ACTTGACGTGGATATGTAAAATACAATATGCTGTTTGAAGGAAACTTCTTACGATTGACAATTTGTGCGTGATATTTTGTTCGAGATATCATTTAACGTTGGCATCGATTCATCGTGCGATACCACGTACCACTGGAAAGGAATGTTGGAGAAAGTAGGGGTAGCTGATAGTACGAAAGCTTACATAAAGCTGACGTGACCTCACGGTGTTACACTAGTATTTTATAATTTCTTACACTTCGAGCCTCATAAATTTCGGTTGCCCGGAGATTTAATGTATAAGTTGTCTTTCTTTGAAAAGATAAGGTAAAGATAAAGTTGTCATTGTACTTCATTAATTAAGTACTGTGTCATGATGACATACGAGTTTTGCAACCATTCATTAGGACCGCGCCATAGCTCAAGCGGTTAGTCGCTGGCTTCCCACCGCGGCGGCCCGGGTCAAGTGGGATTTGTGGTGGACAAAGTGGCGCTGGGGATGGTTTTCTACGAGTACTTCGGTTTTCTCTGCCAATCTTCATTCCACCAAATTCTTCATCATCATACTCACACGGGGCAGGCTACATTAGGCCAATCAGTGGCCGCCGTGCCGAGTGGACCCAGCTGAAATCCAACCCCCACTAAGCGAATTAAAAAGAAACATTCATTAGAGTTAAGATACTATAAACTAGTTTAATTAAGAAGAATTTTGGGTTTAGAAGTGGACAGGATGTGGCATTCGCTACACTTTTTAAATTTTGCCGTCGAATTAGAGCAGTATTGGTTTGGGAAAAGGAGGGCTGACAGATATTGATAGCTATCACTCAAGTGGTAGGGGTCCAAACACCCAAGTTACCGGGAGGAGTTTGTCATGATGCTGCCAAAAGGGCAGCTATGTAATTAAAGACTCCAGGCATTTTCATTGATAAATGTAAATTTCTGGAGAACTCCCAGAATTTAAACGGGGCCAATAGGACACGTTTAAGGGAGGAGCTTGCTTTTGGAAGTTTGGGCTCAGAGAGTTCCCTACTTCAGCGAGCCCATCCACCATGAGAGTCGTCTCCCAGACACTGAGTGGTACGGACTCGAAACTGTGTCTCGGCATCACCAAATTACTAGAACACTGTTAAGACTACAGAAACTCTTAGAACAAGCAAAGATAATTATAGGAATTGAGGATACCAAATTAACTTAAGGCCCAGGAAGGATACGGATTTTTATTGCTAGTGGGGTTGGACTAAGTCCCTTGTACTGCGGCCACTTCTGGCCTATTGTACCAGCCCCAGATGATAGCTGAGGGTGATTGTGGAGCAATTTGTGGAATGAAGATTGGCAGGGGAAACCGAAGTACTCGGAGAAAACCTGCCCCAGCGCAACTTTGTCCACCACAAATCTCACTTGACCAGACCCGGGATTGAACCCGGGCCGCCGCGTTGGGAAGCCAGCGACTAACCGCTTGAGCTATGGCGCGGCCCTAAGGATAAGATAAGTGAGGTTCTATCTAAGCAGTACAATTTCTATTACAATCACATAAATACTAATTAAATGTCCTGGTGTAGCTAAGTGTTCGTAAAAATCGTGAGTACAACCTCGTTCCCGTCCTCTCGGCATGAAGATCGCTACGCCCTAAGACGGAGTCCATCTCTACCTGAGCAAACCGGACGGAACACGATACTCACCAGCCCGGTTATCCTTCCAGTTGTAAGCTACTGACGTACGCTTGCTGGCTCCCAATTTTACTCCTTGCCTTTCCAAATTAACCCTACCTGTTCCATAACGAGGTTGCGGAAGGTGGCTGGAGTGTTGACAAGAGATCGGGGGGTGGCAGCAGTGAGGGGTGAGGATCGTCACAACACAGGTGGGCCAGTTACATGAAGTAGCCAATAGCGCTTGGCAAAGACAGCCTGCTGCCATCAGTGAAGGGGACGGTTATAGCATGCAGGGAGCGAAAATATAGATCCACCTTTCTTGACCCCGACACGAGATGCATTTGAATAGTCAGCTTCATACGCCGGCAGCTTTAATAGCAAGGAAATAGATCCCAGTATCCATTGGTTAGGAGGCTGGCTGAGCCACAGAGCCGGTCTGGACACTATGAAGAAGAGAAATCTTGCTTTTGCCGGGAATCGAACCACGACCATCCAGTCGCTAAGCTGAAAACAATTTATCATTCCTCATATATTCCTATGGGCACGCGGTAGCGTAGTTGGTTCAGGCACTATGCTACAAGCCGGAAGGTCGCAGGTTAGAGTTGATGAGGTGGATTTTTTCAATTGACCTAATCCTTTCAACTGCATTATGGCCATGGGGTCGACTCAGCCTCTAACAGAAATGAGTACTGTGAATCTTCCTGGAGGTAAATGGCGAACGGTGCGACCTTACTGACATCTGTGAACCGATTTTCTAGAAAATGTGGGAGCCTCGACGTCTCAGAACTCTATAGGTCTCCACGGCCTGTTACAAGGATAGCTTTACCTTTGCCATATTTCTATGTTACATCCAAAATTAGGCGCCCACTTCATTATCGTAAAAGTAATTTAGAGTCGTACTACAAACCACATAACGACTAAGGCTGGGGCCACACGAGCGCACAAAATGCGTCCGTTGTAACGGCCGCCAGGACGTCACGCGGACTACGTACAGCATTCTGCAACTGTGTGGTGTCCTCAGCAACGTCCGTCACAAAGTACGTCCGTTGCAACGGACAATTAAACAAGAGGCGAATGTTACACTTTCTTCTGGCTCCATTGCGGAGAAAGAACTACGTACCGCATTCTGCAACTGTGTGGTATCCTCAGCAACGTCCGTCATAAAGTACGTACTTCATGTGCTCGTGTGGCCTCAGCCTAAGCCTTGTGGCTAGACATAGAAGCGAAAGTGCATGACTGGCGGTAAACTCGGCAACAGAGGGGAATTGATAACAATACGCCTGCAATATATTGCTTAGATTCCCCGCCCTCCTGGCCTGTTGGAGAAGTTGCCTCTATTCACGGCAGTCCCATAAAATGCATTATTCAGAAAGCTTAGAACACGGTAAGTACGGTTTACAAGACGAAGCAATTTAATTCAGTGAAGTAAATATTGTAGAATCGTTTTGGGCAGTGAAAACGCTATAAGTAGCAGCTTCTGACGCGCGTGCGCAGGTGTATACATATGTATGTACGCATAGAGGATGAGTTTTAATTATTTACTACACTTACAGGTACGTAGAATGAGCAAGTGAAGGAGGATGTGGTGGGCAGGGCAGGTAGCACGAATGGGGGAGACGAGGAATGCGCACAGAATATTGGTGGGAGAGCCAGAAGGAAGGAGACCACTGGGAAGACCAAGACGTAGGTGGGCGGACAATATTAAAATGTATCTTAGAGAGATATGATTGGATGTTATAGATTGGATTGATCTGGCTCAGGATAGGGACCAGTGGAGGGCTCTTGTGAACACGGTAATGAACCTTCGGATTCCGTGGAATGCTGGGAGGTTCAGAATTTGCGGCTCTTCCAGAAGGGCTCAGCTCCGTAAGTAAGTAAGTAATTGTCCGCTGCTAATTCCCAGGAGATACAAGCATAAGTCATTATTGATCTGATCAGTGCCTTGTGGAGTGTTAGTTTAATGTTTGCGCTTAAACGCTAATTTTTAAATAATGAGTAGATTACAATAAATGTTCTGAAGGGCTTGACATCAGTCCTCTCTATGTGTAGTTTACATGTAATCCTCCTATCGAAGATTACACTGAGATATTTTACATGATTGCCAAAAGCGATATTCTGTCCATTCAATGTAATATGAACCTCAAGGGGGGCCTAATTCTATGAGAAAAGTAAATAGCTTGAATCTTATCTTCATTGATTTTTATGTTCCAGCGCTCACACCACATCTCAATAGCACTGAGACCTCGCTGCAGCTTACTGAAAATATAACGCACTGAAGTCTTTGTTAAACAGCCCCGGCACGGACCGCACAGAACACGTTTCTCCTATCATTGCGTGTTCTCTGGTTGCCGGGGGAAAGAAGTTTTCACAGAGCTGCTCCCTAGCAACGGCTCTTGTACTACCGCCTGTTTACACAGTTATTACTTGGCAATGGGTTTGCATGTCACAACATTTGCTTATAACCTTAACTGAATAACACAATGGTTATACTATGTAAGGTATGGAATTGAGACTTACATATGTACATAATATGCATGAAATAATATGAACGGTTGCATCATTTACGTTCGATTAGCCCATAAAACAATTCTACTCGTTCGCAGCACGACTGACAACATTGGGAATTATGAAGACGCCGTTGTACAAGTTGTAGATCTGACGAGTTCTGTCTCGATAAAATTCAACCGAATTTTCGGAGATATGTGTCGACTCCATCTTCAGGGTCGAAAGGTGAACCAAGCAGAAACCGACTTGAGGCATCTTTCATGCTGGTCCCTTGTTTCTTACACTCTTCGAACTTGAAGATGGAGGATAATCAGACTGCATTACTCAGGGCATAGACGTGATCCCTAATTAACCAGATTATTTCCAGAGAGCTTTCTTTCAAAATACAGGATGAATCGTATAGAACCGGCCCGATGAATTTGCTAATAATTCCGCAGGTGATGCATATAACCGCTCACAATTACGACATAACAATCCGTGGGCCGTGCTGAGTCGAATGGTGTGCGCATGATCCGGCAAGTGGCAGCCCTTATGCTGCAAGGTCAAGGACAATACCGAAACGTGTCTGCAGTGCGCAGGCGACAGTCATGGAGTTCACTGTTGAACAGCGAGTGTTTCTAATGCCTACTTGAAAACGGCGGACACTTTCAACACCTGCTCTGATCACGGCACACAATCCAAGATAAGATATGTGTAAATTACTTTAATATCTGTATGGTATATTTTATATTACACCTCATTTCGTCGGGCCGGTTCTATATGAATCACCCTGTATTTTACTGCTAATTTATATCATTCCTACGCAGTACGTCATATATCCTACTGAAAAACTGGAATATTAATTCCGGCTACTGCCGGTAGACATACGTGAGGTTCTCCTTCCCGATGCAAGGTCTCCTCGTGGTCCAGGAGCACTTCCACGGCTTCCACGAACTCCTCGGAAATGGCATGCAAGAGTGCGTCCTTCGTTTCGACCTTGTGCTCGATGAGCAGTTCCACCATTTCCAGGTTCTCGTTGTCAATCGCCATGAGCAATGCAGACCTGCCTAGCGGGTCCACACAGTTGATGTTGATGTACTCTGTCTCCTGAGCACGCTGGAGCATCCTGGAAGGAGAATTATGGTCATATCAACAGGACCACAGTTGATGTTGATGTACTCTGTCTCCTGAGCACGCTGGATCATCCTGAAAGCATAATTATGGTCGCATGAACAGGACCACAGATTTTGAGCTGATGTATTCTGTCTCCTGAGCAGTGCAGCATCCTGGAAGGAGAATTAGTATACAAATTCATCAACTGATTCAAATGTTTTAAATGCGATTCCACAAAAGAAGTACAGTGACTGTTTTTCCAAAATTTTTCAATCGATTCCAGCTATGTGTTGATTCAGAAGGAGACTATTTTGAATTAAATTTTGAAAATAATTCAAGTCTTGTATTTATGATGAACACAGTCCTAACAGAACCTGGACACCCTGTGTATACTGCAACGTGATTACGGCTACAGAAGAGGTTTGAATTGGTAACTGGATTTATTAGACACACTCGTAACTACAAATAACTACGACAGTCTCACTGAGTTAGACACTCCAGAGATCAGTGACTACAGCACACAGAAAGTTTTCTGTCATCACTAGCCGTTTACTGGTATCGGCTTCAATGTCTGACGTTCTCCTGCCTCTGGGCTCTCGAACTGTCCTCAGTTTCAGCTACGTCCTTCTAACTTCTCAAAACTGCACCTCTCAAGAGATTAAACCAACCACTGAACTACTAGCCTCGTTATATAGCCCCAGCAGGAACCGTAAAGAAAAACTATCTTCCATTATTGCGTGTTCTCGCATTGCCTGGGCAACTACTTGTCCACACAGCTGTTACGTAGCAATGGTTGTTATACTGTCGAGTATTTACACAGCTGTTACTTGGCAATTGGATTACATGTCACAGTATCCCTGTAACAGGCCTGGAAGATCACAGGATTGTGAGACGTAGAGGCTCCCATATTTTCTAGACAATCGGTTCACAGATGGTGGTGAGATTGTCAGCCTTACGCGCTGACCGCCCTTTAGCTTCAGGAAGATTCCTGATACTAATTTCTATTAATGGCTGAGTCGAATCCAGGGCCACGGTGAGGCTGGAAGGAATAGTTCGAATGAAAATCCAACGACGTCATCGGGAATCGAACCTGCGACATTCCGGTTTGTAGCATAGTGCCTTAACCAACTACGCTACAGCGTGCCACCATGTTATAAACGAATAGAACAGTCTTGAAAATGCAGCGCTTTGCATATTATTCGTTAAATACCACTTACCCTATGTTACATATACATTAAAACATGATTCGGAGGTATGGGACCATCACTAGGTATATATAATTCGTTAAATCGCTACATTACATTTTGTGTCAGACGTTAAAGCCTTAAATTTATTTATTTTATGAAACAAGTTAGGCCATTTCAAAAATATATTAAAATGTATACATTTTTCCCATACTTTCCTTCGCTGTGTATGTTGCCATTGGCAGTGATATGTAAACTTCTTCAACGTTTCTTTTTATTTTATATTCCATGGCGGCCAATGTGCACGTGGGCTACCGACCATAGCGTATATAACACTATATATATACATATATATCGCTGCCAATGACAACATACACAACTTCCCAGCAGTGTTAGTTGCCAGAGAGACACATACCGCGTTGTTAGGTGTACTACAGACACACAGAATGGTCGTGGAACCCAGAGAAGACGAATACTGCGTCAGGCTCGTAACATTCGACCTGGTAGTGTCGCACTAGAACATGCGTCGACGTCACCCAGACGCTAATGTTTCGACGACTGGAGCAGCGTCTCAGTGCGACTGGCAGTGTGGCACTAATGACAAACGTGAGAGCGGGTAGCCCACCGGCCGACAGGGAACGCCGTAGTTGCACGTGGAGAAGCTCACGCGGCATCGTACGAGAATTGGGACCGTCCCAACCAAGAGCCCTCGAAGTACTTAACTGCATCCATACCAATATTCACGGAGCGCACATGTGTTTCCAGACAATCGAACTTTATGGATGAAATTTTGGGAATGTCTAATACATCAACATACTGCGCTTGAAGTCTTTTTATATAACATTATGTGGAGGGAAGACGCATGTGTTAAGCGTGGCATTGTGATCAACAAAGTCGCCTCCGGACACGGGATAATTCTCATACCATCCGTGAATGCGGGCACCAATGCAATAGCATTAGGATTGGAATCACTGAGGACATTCTCATAGGTTGTTATCTGATACCTGACAGGCTGACTGATAAGCGATATCTCTTCTATTGAGGATATTTCAAGGTGTGCCTCCGGTTGTGAGGCAGAGTTTGTGATTTCAGCATGACGGAGTTCCAGAGCACTGTGGGGAAGATCGTCCAGAGGTAGTTCAATGCAACATACCGAGGAAAGTAGATGGACATCGAGAGTCAATTACATGGCCTCCCCGGTCACCGGGTCTAACTTCGATTGACTATTCTTCCGTGCAGAAACACCTGAAAGAGCTCGTTTATGCAGTCCCTTCCAGGATTACAGAAGTCACGCGACAAGACTTCAAGCAGATGTTACAACGGTCAATGGAAACATGCTAAGGCGGTCTGAATTATTGCTTTTTTGGGCTTTGCCCATCGTTCGATATTCTAAAACACTGAAGAAAATGTTTCGGGAACTGGATCTGTTTCCGTCCTCAGGGTGGGGGAGACATATACTCTGTTGGATCCGTTAGAAATAGGATAGCTGTTTCTAAGGGGCAATGGACAAAGTCCAAAATCCAGTAATTCTGAGTGTTATACACCATAGTCATAACCCTTCAGAATCAACGTGTTGAGGCTTGAGGAGTGTTCGAGAAAACGCCGTGTGGCTCACTGCCGTCCTTCTTGAAATGGATGAAGGTCGCTTTCAGCACGTATTGTAAACACGAGACTACCATGGCATGATCATTTCATAGCTTGCGTCGTTTGACGGTAACGCGTATTTTGAAAACTATGAGTTAGAGGACATATCCTGCACGTTATCCTCGACTTTTTTTTTTACAAGAAATCACATTACAGAAAGCTTGTGCACGAATTTTGTTTCACCCTGTATATCACGCATTGCACAGAAAGAAATGTCTTTAATTTCTTTAAGTTTGAAGACCAAATACATCAGGTTGACCTGAAACTATTTACATACAAACATACTGCTTTAATTACAACGATTTTTCTCCACAGCAGCGAGATAAGTACACAATTCAACTCATTCAACTCGCCCATTTAAATGAACCCATAGCAGTTATGAAAAACAATGACCCTATGCCTGGGAAAATATCACATTAAGATATTAAAATATTTTAATTTTAACTAAACACAACGAAGCCTGTGAATTTAATCCAAATATATGAGCTTACACTGCCGGTCACGGTAGCCGAGGGTTCTAAGGCATGAACTGTCTTCGCTCGCTTGGAAACCGGGACCGTGGGTTCGAATCTCGCTCAGGGCATGGATGTTTAGTTTGTGTGTGTGCGTTTTTCTGTGTTTGTGTACAGGTAGAGGCCTTGCGACGAGCTGATCACTCGCCCAAGGAGTCCTACCGAATGTGTAAAATGTAGAAAAACCGAAGTGAACGGAGAAGTTCATGGAGGTAGGCCTAGGCCCACTGGGGCTGTAGTGCCAAGGGGGGAAAAAAGAGCTTACACAAGGATAGGCTTCTTTTGAGATGGACAAAATATTTTTATGGTTGAGCACAAGTGAAGCTTTACTCGAAGTGCTGAAAGCTGTGACTATGAAAAGTAGCGTCCTCTGGAATATAACGCATGTAATCTGACAGATATTCACAGACGTTTCGAATGAACGTACTACTTCCATCCACAGAATAAGGGAAGTAACCAGCAAAAATCAAGCAGAGCGCTCTGCTGATTATTCGGTTGGCGTGCTCTAAAGACAGACGCAGCAAGTTCCTCTAAAAGGTTCGTACCTGTGTACCAAATTACACGGAATCAAATTCTGTACGACAATTTTATTTTAATTCGCAT